TTGTGATCATGACAAGTATATTCCCTCATGGAGGTTCCAATCTAGTTGGGAAGATAGACTTTGACCAATGGTAAAACGACCCAGGACACATCCTATGAACATGTGGTGTCAGGTTCTATGGGAGCACATAACAGTCTTGGGTGAAAGTGAGCAGGAAAGGCTTCTTGGTAAAGAATATGTTTCATAGTAGGAGGAATTGGCCACATGGAGGCAGAGATGAGAATTAAATTCCAGGATGAAGAAGCACTAAGCGGGAAGGCGATTAGGAGTCTCTGGATTGGCTTTATTACTTTACATATTTATGTAAATGTAATTGCTTGTATATACAGACTGATGAGAAACAGGTGACATTAGGATTATAATAGCAATTGTTATTTAATAGCAATAGTAACTAACATTTTTTAATATTTGGTTTGTTCTAGATAATCTTATGAGCAATTTACATGTATTATCTCATGTAATCTCTTCTCCATACCTCGTTCTAGCTGCTCTTTTATTAGTCTCATTTAATAAAAGAGATTTAATTACTGATCAGAAAATGTAGGCACAGCTCGGGAGTAGTGGGGCCTATTCTTTGTACTTGTATAGCAAGTGTAGAAAATTTCTATTTATGCTATATTCCCCTTGGTGTCCACTTTAAAACCTGGGCCTTCATTATACTTCAATCGCATAATGGCTGTGCAATGTTGAAACCATTACTCTGAGCTTTAGAAGAATCTAAATGATTCTTTTAAATTAACTATAATGATACTTAACATTGATAGATTTCTGCATTGGTCAGGGGAAGTTGAGTAATACCTTGGTTAAAAAAAAAAAAGCTTCTAACAACAAAGCGTTAATTTATTTCTCATTCATGTTACATCTTGATTGGGCCGGGAGCTCTGTTACATGTCTCCTTTCACCTGGACTCCATGTCTCCTTGCTCCAGCATGGCATGCCTGTCTACAATCTCTGCAGCAGGGGAAGGGGCCACTTGTTTCCATTCAGCAGTGCTGTATGCTCTTCTTCTTTCATTGGCCAAGGCAAGTCACATGATCATAGCTCAGCAGAGAACAGTCCTGTCCTGGGCAGGGAAGAAGAGGAACAGGACCATTTATGAACTATTCTAATCCATGTACCAGTTTCTGTTCTACCTGCTTTACTATAACAACTCACTTACTTGCCAACAAACCTATGTAGTAACTATGATTGCTATCCCCATTTTAAAGATGAAGTATCTGCACTCCCATGTTCTCTGAAGCCCTATTTACAAAAGCCAAGATATGGAATCAATCTAAGTGCTTATGAGTGGATGAATGGACAAAGAAAATGTTACATATAAACACAATGGAATACTATTCGGCCATAAAAAAGAACGGACTCTTGTCATTTGCAGCAACATGGATAAAATTAGAGGTCATTGTGTTGAGTGAAATAAGAAAGACAAAAAAAGACAATTGTTGTATGTTTTCATTTGTATGTGGGAGCTAGAAAAGTGGATCTCACAGTGGTAGAGAGTAGAGTGGTGGTTGTCAGAGGCAGAGAAGGGTAGTGTGGAGGGTAGATGAGAATTGGTTAACAAATACAAACATACAGTTAAATAGAAGAAATAACTTCTAGTATTATAGTATTAATATACCACATATTACTGATATAATATAGTATATCTAGTATTCTATAGAAGAGTAATTATAGTTAATAATAACTTATTGCATATTTCAAAATAGCTACAAGTGGAAAATTGTACTGTTTCCAACACAAACAAATGTTAAATGTTTGAGGTAATGAATATCCCAATTACCCTGATTTGATCATTCTGCATTGTATACAGGTATCAAAATATCACATGTACCCTCAAAATATGTACAACTATTACATATCATTTTTTTAAGATGATGAAATAGAGGGAAAGAAAGATTAAGTCACTTGCCCAAGATCACTTGGCTAGAAAGTGGTAGATCAAGTTTCTACCCAAGCAGCAGTCTCCAGAGCCCATACTCTGAAATCACTGACTGTATTTACCTTACAGGGTTATTGTGAGAATAGCAGATTAGATGGAACTTGGAAAGTGTAACTTACCATAAGGGAGCATCAGCATTATTGTTGTTGCTGCCACTGGTCCCTCAGTGTGCTGGTCTCAGGAAGTCCTCAGGTGAGGAGATTGACTCAGCCTCTTCAATGGCCACCTCCCTCCCCTACTCTGCCAGAAAGACACAGGTTTTTGTAAAGGTGTCACTGCCTTTGCCATGAATGATTCCCATGCAAACAATCCTTTTCCAGTCCAGGTCTCATTAACCTAAAATTTGTAGGCAAGTGCGGTGATTAGAAGGAATCAACATCAGGCACCGAAGGGCTGGCTCTGTGAATAAGTCATGTAGCACAATGTAAAGTGGGATAACACGTTGTAAATTAATGTTGTTAAAATGAATACTTGATAGTAATCCCAAGGAAGGCTATTTACCATCTTACTTGAAGAGACAGGAGCTGTGTGGAAGCCAAAGCAATTTGAATTGCACAGAAACACTCAGGTTTGCCGCTGCTGATGAATTATCAAACACTTTGGCTTCTTTCCATGTGCAATACTGTTTAATGTTTACCTAAAAAACAATGGGGCAGGAATGTGCTCTGTGTGCCTTGGAAATGACAAGCGACAGAGGTCAGCTAGATGCACGAAACAAAACAAAAGAAATCTATTTTAGTAGTCACTACCTTCTATGGGCTATCATACCTGGCTTTTATTCTCTCTTGAATTTTGGATGGACCATTCCATCCTGGAGTTGAGTGAAGAGAGGCACTGTCAAGACATCAGCAGTCACCTGTTCTTTCTGTCCAAGCTTACTTTCCTGGTCTGGGTCCTCTGATGTTCCACCTCCATTTTTTAGGTGTTGGGATTTTTATGTGCACAATCAGAGAGCTGATGAATGGTACTTTTCATCAGCGCAAGTCTTGGGCAAAAATTATCTTTTTCTCCTTTTACAATTTTTCACCCTAGGTTCCTCAAGCTTACCTTGAATACTTTGAGTGCCACTTAGAAAATAACACCCACTGTTTTTGACCTCCTCTCTTTCGCCAAAAGTCAACATCCCCCTGTACAATAGCTTCAGAGTTCTGCTGCTTATGTGCATGGTTTATTTACAGGATAGGCCCATTTATCTTAGAATTCAACCATAAAGGAGACAACCAAAAGAAGGAGGAGAAGAAAAAAATTAAAGAGTCCTGGTGAGTTCACCCACAGTTCCATTCCATGTGAGGCTGAAAAGGGGAATAGGAACTTAGTTTCCACAGGGCATGGTGCTTGCCTCCAAGCTAACTACTTTGTCAGGATCCAGACCCAAGAATCCACAATCATTCCAGTGTTAGAAGGAGAACTTGATGTGTTAAACTCATTGAGCTTCTTCCTATGGGATTCTGAAAACGACAACTTGTTTTTCATTTCAAGAGTTAGAAACTATACCCCACTGTAATGGTAGAATCCAATAATAAATTAACATAATTTAAGCCCATTATTTTAAACTTAACTTTTAGCAGATTTTGTACCTTCTGGGAGTTGTTCCAGGAAGAACAAATGATTTCTCTTCCTGGCACTCCTTCTTCCTCCCTATCACCACTAAAAAGCAAATTCATGTGGTATAGAATTGGGCAGCTCATTGTTTGATTTTAATTTCATGGAGACTAGGGTTTCTCAAACTTGAGTTATATAGAGACCCTTTTGAGAGGAAAATAATTATCATGGATCCCCATGAGGATATAAAAGACTTTTATTAAAATGTTAATATATAAACATAAAGTCAGATAGAAACTCTTTGTGCTTACTGTTTTAGTCAATTATGAAACCAAAACAAATTAGATACAAGCATCATTGCACATCTAATAAAATTCAAATTAACAATATTAAATAAAATGATGAATCACGTTGTCTGGCTGAAGTGGCATCTTCTCTTTAAACATGACTGTTGTACTTTGGGCTTTGGTGCAAGTTCTCTTGGGGTAGGAGATCTAGGCCATCGTGTACGAACAATGCTCTCATCTCTCTTCTCTAGTTCTCATCGCTTGGCATGAATTAATCATTTCCTATGAGTTTTTGCACGGGATCATTCTCTGTTCATTTCTGCAGAGAACATAAGTAGTAGTATTAGGAGCCTACAGGAAGGCAAAACTATAAAAGCAAAGTCTTTTCTGAAATCACATGGTTGAACTCAGCGAGAAGGTGGTCATGCAAATAATCCTTAACATGCTCCTATTGATTTCCTCTTGCTTGTCGCTGACTTTTCATGTGACAATGAAAATTTATTTTGGAGAGAATGTGTGTGGATCCTCAGGGGCTGAGGACTCTAGTTTGGGTGCCGTGTTCTAAGATGTATTCTCTTAATGACCTTCTTATTTCACCACCAGTCATCTTCCTTTGTCCCATGCACCATCAGAGCATGGACAGTTTAAAGGATCCAGCTGGACAATCAGGAGACCTGGGCTCTGGTTCTAGCTGAAGCCTTACCTACTCTCTGACTGCAGTAAAGCTTTCTATTAGTTCTCTTCCAGTCCGAGACAAGCCACCATCATCTCTTGCTCCAACTGAAATGGCCTCCCAACTCACCAACCTGCTTCCATGCTTGGCCCCTCCGCCATCCATTTCTCACCCTAGAACAGAGGATGATCTTCTTAAGTTGTGCATTAATCATGTAACTTTCTTGTTTTAAACCTCTCCACTGAAGTTTCAATTTTATTTATAGTAAAGTCCCTGACCGAACACACTGTATGTCCATTTGTCACCCACCTCTATTTTCACCCTACAGCAGAAAGTAATCTTAAATTATAAATTAGGCATGTCACTTCCCCGTTTAATACTCTTCCACTGAGGTTCCAGTTTTATTTATAATAAAATCTATGGCCTACCAAGCTATATGAAATCCAGTCCCACCTACCTCTCCAGATCCATCCCCCACCTCACTTCTTCACATTCTCCACACCCAGCCCTAGAGTTTCATTTCAGCTCTTTAAATTGCCGAGTTCTCCTTTGAATGAGGTTTTTTTTTTTTTTTTGCATGACACCAGCCATGCGCTGCTTTATTGAGCACAAGATTTTCAGTACAAGAAGTTGCCACAGAAGCAGGGGTTTAGATTCAACCATGCCCATGTGCAAGGGCGCTGGTCCCTGTCCAGGGCACATAATCAGAGAAGTGATACAGCCATGCCGAGGTATACTTGTGTGCAGAAATGGACACACAGGCTTCAGGAGCATCAGTAACTGACCATCGAGATCATGGTCTTCTTGGAAGGAATAAATTTAAGAATGTTGCTCAGCCCCACAGAGTTGTGGCGACTCCGCAGGGTGAAGGCTTGTAGGGGTGACGTCCTCAGTGGTGCTGCCCTGCAGAGGCTGAAGGTGTCATCCCATAGGCTTTATAGAGGAGGTCGAGAAGCTCCCTCTTCTCATCTTCTGGGAGGAAACTGGAGTTGGCTGCATTGATGTTCAGCCTCCTAAACTCCTCTTCAGTAAAGCCCATGTCCTGTTTGGTCATCTGGTAATCAGTGTCCAGGGTGGACTTGAAGATGAGTGGGTCATCTGTGTTGAGTGAGTAGTTAGCCTGGTCATTTCTGAGACGAACAACTGCATGCTCTGTGTCCGGCTTCCAGGCACCAGTGAGGTAGCTGGACCAGGGGCATACCTCGAAGTGCATGTTTGCCTGCCGCAGCCTGTCATAAAGGGCCTGGTCTTCCAGGGTGTGGTAGCCATGTCCCAGCCGCTCTGTCCTGAATATGTCCACAGCCTCGGCTGAGCCCACTTCCCCGGCGTGGACAGTACGGTGAATGACGCTCTTCAGAGCCTCCTCGTAGGCCTGGACATGTCCAGAGAAGAGGCTGCTTCCTTGGATGGTCTCGTCTCCAGCCAGGTCGATGGCCACCACGGTCTGCTGCTGGTACTTGTTACACAGCTCCACCACCTCAGAGGACCAGTTGGGCTGGTGGCGCATGCAGCACAGGATGGACCAGGCCTTGACCCCGAAGTCTCGCTCCCCCTCCCGCAGGCCCTGGCCCACTAGGGCCACCACCTCGTCTGGGGTGAGGTCCCCTTCAGCCTGGTTCCAGGGGATTGGCTCCACTTTGGAGTTGGCCAGCAGGTGAGGGCTGTAGCGCACCTCCACGTACACCACGCCCTCTTTGGCCTTCATCTCTACAAACTCATAGGCGATCCTTTTGATAGCCTCCCGGCAGCCCGCGATAGCTGGCATGTAGTACTCAAACTTGGCCAGGAAGCCCGGGAGGGAGAGCGGCTTTTCCATGCCGATGACGTTCTGCAGCCCCTCTGCTGTGTTAGCTGGGAGGGTGATCCCTCTCCTCCTGCCATAGTATAAGATGGTTTCCGGCTTGATGGCTCCATCTAGGTGGACGTGCAGTTCTACTTTGGGCTTGTCGAAGGCGGGTGTCTGGGCCATGATCCCCTCGTGCGCGCCGGCGCTGATCCCTCCGCTGACGCTCGGAGGGTCTCTGCAGGCTCGTGGGCCACTCGACTTTCCCTGGGGCTGAATGAGGTTTTTGAATGGGCTTGTTGCTCTCCCTGAAACACTCTCTATCTCCACCAGTCAACTCCTCTCTTCCTGGTTTCTAATAATCCTTTAGAGTGTATCTTAAATCCTACCTTTACAGGTCAGGCTTCTCTGATTACCCTACCTTGGTTAAATTTACCCCCAGATCTTGTTCTCTGGATCCATCTTTTGCTGAACTCCATCAACAGTTTAACCGTGTGATGTGAGCATGCATTCCTCTTTGGGTCTGTCTTCCTCCACTGGAACATCAGCTCCTTGAGGGCAACAACATTGCTCTTTTATCATGGTATCCCCTGACACCTAGGACAGTGCAGGCATGGAGTCTATTTTGAATTATTGAGTTAATGTTGATGAAGGAATGGCAGCCCTCTTTCCACTGGGCTCATTTTCTGGACTTTATTTTCCTTAGCTATAAAGTGGAGCTAACATCATCTGCTTTACTTGACCTCATGTATTTAATACAGAAACGCCAGTTTTGTAGTTGGCCCCATGCTTGGTACCAGGGATACAGAGTGTACTGAAAAAAGTTCAAGGGGTCTCAAAGAGAGTCAAGTGCTAGGGATTTGGTATCAATAGCCAGGCAGAAGATGCGGGGAGTCAGGCTGACTGCCTGGAGAGCTCCACCCCTTGGGCACTAATAGTCCAGTGCCCCAGGAGCCTTTCTCTCCTGCCAGGGATGGTCTGGGGGTCACTCATTTTACATGTATGCACTGAAGGATCATGTCAGGTACTTAGCAGCTCTAAGTCTTTCCACCATCTTTGCACTTTATCTCTTATTTAACATAGCTTCTTTCTACTTTTATTCTGGAGATCAAATGGAGTGAGTTTAACTTGATTCATCAGTGCATTCATTCGGGGCACACATGATAAGCACCTTCTATGTATCAAGCACTAGGATTGTGAATTTTGCTTCTGCTACCACTGAGACAACGCAGCTCTGGCCCTAACGTTGGGGCTTGATGTTCTATTTGCTTTTCCGAAGTCCACCTTCCTTATAGAACTCCGTGGCATCATAGCCATGTGGTGAACTGGAGCGGAATTTAGGAACTCAGCCTTCTTACCTCATTCTACAGCAATAGTGTGACATTGGGTGGGTTTCTTAACCTCTCTAAATCAAGGATTTCCTAACATGTAAAACAAGGCTATAAATTCCCACTCCACCCACTTCTTTGAGTTCTTTTCAGACTTGAGATAATGAGCATGAGGGAGCTTAAAAGAAGCATAGAGCAAAATGAAAACATAATTAACTCAATGACTGTAAAATGCCAAGAGAGGTAAAGATAAGGAAACTAATGCTGATTACATATTTACCCTGTGCTTGAGGCTTTGCTAAATGCTTCATGTATGATACTCTGTCACAAAAAGCCATTTTTCCTGGAGAGGAAACTGGGACCAAGAATGTCAGGTCGCTTTTCAAAGACTGTTCAGCCAATAGGCAATGAGGTTGGCTCTCCCGCCAGATCTGGGTGACTTTTAAGGCCAATATGCCCACTGCTTCAGGCTGTCCAAAACAATGGAACATTGTATATCATTGTAGAGGGTCATTCAGCCTCTACCTAAACGCTTCCATATGGGTGTGGTCTGGTTTCCTTGGGGTCCTTACTCTGGGGACAGATAGGATGGACCTAAGATCAGAATATCTCTCTATTGGTAATGTTAGATCTTTTGCCCTCCCTCCGTCCAACTGGAAGTGCCCTCTATAAGTCATGAGTTTGCTGGCAATCTGGGGAATGTCTTAAAAAATTTCTTTCTTGGCCAAGTATGATGGCTCAAGCCTGTAACCCAGCACTTTGGGAGGTCGAGGAGGGAGATCACCTGAGGTTAGAAGTTTGAGACCAGTCTGATGAACATGGCAACACCCATGTTTACTAAAAATACAAAATTAGCCAGGTGTAGTGGTGCATGCCTGTAATCTCAGCTACTCAGGAGCCTGAGGCAGGAAAATCACTTGAACCTGGGAGGCAGAGATTGCAGTGAGCCGAGATCATGCCATTGCACTCCAGCCTGGGCAATAAGAACAAAACTTTTTCTCAAAAAAGTCCCTTTTTACTTTCAGACAACCTAAGTTGCCCCAGGTCCCGGTGGTAGGCCATCAGCTTCACAATTCCAGAAATGCCTCCTTGTCTGCTGAAAGTTTCAGCCGCTTTCTGAATTCTGGGGATGGCTCTCTATTCAGTAGGTAATAGAATAACAGGGTAGAGGCTGCATCAAGAGAGATGAAGCCTGCAGCAATTTGGTAGCAGCTAACACCCCAAATACCCTGAGTTTCATCTGTATTCATTCCCCCCAGTGCTGTGGACAGCTCCTGCGGACTTCAGTTTATCTCAGCCTCAAAGCTAATAGAGTTAAACCAGCTGGTCAATTTAAACAGGAGCCGAAGCAGTGAGATGTTACTGTATTCTGAGATGGTGCTAATAAACTTTAATAGATTTCAGCTAACAATTTGGTATAAATTAGACATTGCACTGCTGCTGAGGTAATAACTTTTGGCATTAAATAACAGAAAATCAAGCTCTGTGATGTGCTTCAAAAGCACCTTCATCGAGCCTCTGAGATTCAGGCAGATTTCACTATTGATTACTGCTTACTCTTCCCCAAGCGTTAAGAAAACAGCAAACTGTTCCAAAATACACCCCCTAAAAGGGGCCCAGATTTTTTCTTCCACCTGCTCCATAACTCATTTACATTAAAGAACCCTTGGGCTTGAAATGGGTACAAGGTGACTGAAAGACTTCTAAGGATGAGTCAGGAGCCAAGATGTTAGACAATTCCCGTGAGAGCACCCAAGCACTTGTTCATATTTTTCTGGATCCTTCCAAAGTGTTCACCAGCTGAATAAAGTCATTCCCATTAGATTGTTTAACAATGGTTCCAATGTGAGCTCTGTGATGAGCATGGGTTAGGCACTAGAGTCAATGGAGTCTTTTGCAAGAGGCCTGACATGGCATTAGGAGAACTTGCTCAGGTGTTGGCTATGGCACTAATGATCTACATGACCTTAGGCAAGTGATTTAACTTCCCTGAACTAGAGTTCCCTCACTCCTTCCCCTAAAAGGACATAAGGAGGGAGGAAGTTTGAGAATCCCTGTGAAAGTATGCTGTAGGCTGGGAAGTGCTATCCAAACATATGTTGTGAGATTCAGTAGGCTGTGGGACGTTTAGGTGGTCTAGGGCACGCCGGGGTTCTGAAGTTCTGTGACATCAACATGAGTCTCAGAAACAGCCAGAATGTTCCCTGCTGCAGATGCATTGGCCCCACCTGTAGGGCCTCCTGACATCTACCCTACTCTCCCCTCTACTCACACTCTTTGAACTGTGCTCAGGAGCAGTGCTACAACTTCCACATTGGTCTTCACAGGGATTGAGTGATTTTTTCAGAAACAGAACCCTGTGTGGAGGTTATTATTATTGAAACCTTTACCACATTTCACTGAATATAAGACACATTTTTTTGTTGTTATTTAACATCTTTAAGGTTGGGTTATGTTTCTTCATCATTGTCAGTTGGAGTTGAATTAGGAGCATCTTTTTTTTCCCTTAATGTCACACGCAGTAATGGTGCAGCATCTCACAACTGAGATCATCTTAGACGTGATGGAATATGGAATTGTATGCCTGTTACAAGCAAGGCTGGAGACTGTGGAACCCAAGACAGCACCATCCTCTAGTGGTGTTCACACTCCACCACAGTGGAGTCGGGTAAGTCAAACTGGAGCAAGTCAGCAAGAGAATTTCATACAGTATTGGATTTTGGAATAAGACAACAGGAAAAAAGGATAAAGAGGATCTAGACTTTTAAGCTATGATTAAGAGGACAGTCCATCGGGGCCTCTCAGGGGAGGTGAAATCTACACAGAAAGCTGAATGCTAGAAGGAAGGTTACTTGGTAAGATCTAGGACCAAGGGCTTTCCAGTGTGAGGGAACAGCCAGGTGGTCCCTACAATGGGAATTATGTTAGCAGAATGTTACTGGTAGAGTCCTTGGTCCTTGTGTGCATAATTCTCTAAATATGTGCAAATGAGAATAGTCACAGATTTTCCCAAAGATCTCGTGCCTCTTTCTTTCCTTGATTTTTTTTAAACCAAGCCCCCAATTTACATTCATCAAGGACTTTCTTAGTTTCCTAGGGCTGCTGTAGCAAATTATCGCAAACTTAAGTGGCTTAAAACAAGAGAAATTTATTTCATCATAGTTCTAGAGGCTACCAGTCTGAAATCAAGATGTCTGTAGGGCCATACTCTCTCTGAAGGATGTAGGGGAGAATGTGTTACATGCTTTCTCATAGTTTTTGGTGTTAGCTGGAAATCCTTGTTATTCCTTGGCTTGGAGCAGACACATTGCTCCAATCTCTGCCTCTGTAATCACAGGGCTTTCTCCCCATGAGTGTCTGTCTCTTTTCCTCTTCTTACAAAGACAACACCTTGTTGGATTGGGACCAACTCTCATTCAGTATGATCTCATCTTCACTTCATTACATGTGCAAAGACTGTATAACCGCATAGTCACAGGTACCAGGGATTAGGACTTCAACGTATCTTTTTGGAGGGCACAATTCCACTCATAACAGCTATCCTAATGGCACATCTCAAAAAGAGGTCTTAATGGAGGTCTGATGTCTTTGATAACATGACACCCAAACTGTCTCACCACCGAGCAGATCTCCCACATTTTGTTTACTGAGAAGAAAAGTCATGAGCCCATCTTCAGGGTTTAGGATCCAAACGCCTGGTTTCCTTGGGAGCATTTTCTTTTCTCTCTATTGCCATAGGTTATTTTGGTGGTAAGGTAAAAGGTTGATTTTGGTGGAAGAGAGTCATCATCGTAAACCTCCCCAAAAGTAATCATTGATTGCAACAATTAATGACACTATTTTTGGAGTACATGGGTGGCCACTGTAGCCAAGTGAGAAATAATGTCTAATAACTTTGTAGCCAGTCATCATCAGGAGTATTAATATTAAACAGGTTGTT